AAAAGAACATATATATATATATATATATATATATTCGCACTGATAATAATCTCTGCTACCGTGGATAAAGAGGATAAATGGTTTTCGGTGATTTACATAGCGTTTTCTCACAGCTATCTATGTATTCATGAGCCTCCTTACTTTAGTTCAGTAGCTTATCTGAAATACTAGCTATTTGTGTTTTGATATAGATGTTGCAATAGTAAACTAGAAGTTAATCGAGATAAAACTGTTATTAGCAACAGATAATAAGATTAAGAATGAAGCTCGGCTTCTGTTTACAAAGAACATAACATTTGTTTTTGTGCTTTTAAGAGCTTATAACATGTAAGACTGGTTACCGTGTTAAGGATGAGTCCATTTTTTTAACTTTAATTACTAAAGTTTTAAAAATGAGTGGTTACTCAGAGCCAAATATCGTGAAGCTACAAGTCAGCTTGGACACTCCAGTCCGGAGGTTCTGTTACATACTAAATTCTATATACACTAAATGAGATTTATAGTCTAGCACTTACTCCTCAGTAACTTGTGCCATATTTTGTTAGATACTAACGGTCCATTTAGAGATAGGTGATGATTTATTGACAGTAACAGAGTAACCATGACAATAATACAAAACTAGTTTTAACAACTGATCTTGATTAGTATGTTCACCAAAACAGAGGCTGTTTTACCTTTAAAGGTTTTTTTTAACGAATAAGCAACATAAACCTCCCACAAACAGAAAAGACGAACGTAATTTTTATTTGTTTAGAGCTTAATTTGCCAGTGTCTTCATGTTAGTGAATATCAAGTGTTACTCTCTGTCATTACGCCCCTGTCAGACTTTTTCTGGTTTTCTCATTCGTTTCTACTATGTTAATGGTACTTTATGAGAAGGGTGTTCTACTTCTCATGCTGCCCTTTGAACTACTTTCATCATTGGTCATGCTGTTATGCCGTGTTATTGACCAAAGCCGCAATTTCCATTGCAGCAAACTTCTTCGGAGGATGTCCATCTCAGGTCAAACTTCCTATAGACTCTCTACTGTACGTGAAAGTCGACTTCCAAATTCACATTTAAGCAAAACGAAGGCACAAAAGTTTGCTGTATCTGTCTCTGTGGGTTTTAAATGTCTTTGGTTGAACAAATTTGTGCGGCTCCAGTATCTACAGCCACTTTTCTTAAGACAACAGTCAATGATTATCAAGATGTGGCTGGGAACATATGAAAGATGATCCGTCGTGCACTTCAAATCTTATCATCTTATTAACAATATAAGAGATATGTCCAGCTTCATCACAGAAACTTTTGCAGTCAGAGAGTTCATTTCACACCTATAACATCCACTTTGCAGATGAGGGTGTCTTTATATAATGGCTGCAGTAGGGTGTGATTTCAGAACTCGTTATTGTCCTAAACTCTGAGCTATACTATTTTTTTTTTGCTTCCATGAAAAACTTTAAAGATTCCCTTCTTTAAATGTTTTGTCCTATGTCTCTATATCCTTTAACGATCTCATGATATATGAATATCCTTCCTATAAAAAGACTTGTATATCGGTGGCGGCATTGCGCTGCCGAATAGTCTGAAATCCACCTTGCACCAAATATATACGTCACTGGATTAACATGCACAAATAGTTCATATAAAGCGCAATCAACTCTTTATTCTAAAACAACCTTTGCCATCAACAAATGTACTTGCTGATGCTGTATCGAAATGTTGACTCGTAGCTGGTATTAACATTTTCCTCTTTTGTTTCACAAATAGGGATGGTGAAAGAAAAGTGAACACTCGGACATTACCTTACCGTGAATCTTCTCCCCTTCTTGTAACGTTAGAATTTCAGACAATTCTGTTTTGCTTCTTCAAATGAAAAATGCTTTTATGCAACCTAAATGTTTTAATAAATTCTTTTTATTTTTAAAGGAAAGGACAATAGATCTCTAACGTATTTTCATTTTTATGATCAACTAATAAAGTTAATAATCGTAGCGTTTTGTTCTTTTGAAAATAGGCGAAAAACTGCAAGCTTTACAATTATTTTGCAGACTTACTAAGCTTGAGAAATCTCTTATGAGAAGGAAATCCAATGTGACTTATTTTTATGTTCGAATAATTTCTTTCCCTTCCTCAATTTTCAGTCTGTAGCTTTACTGATTATCCATCGCTACGTGTTTTCACATTACTTCTCTTTTTTATCTGTATCATAAGACTTATCCAAACATGTTACACATAGTTTCATCCATAGACATAAACTAACTCCAACATTTTTCCAACACTTACGCAAATGATTTGCTCATTTAATACGAAAATAGTACAAAACACGTTATCTTCAGTTTTAGAACTACTTTATTTGTTTTCGTAATTTTACCTTTTAGTACAGTAAATGGTCGATTTTCTCTCTCACTAAACTGAACAGTCTGGGTGTCGTATAGTAATATGTACACTGGTGTTGAACATTATCAAAGATACTGACACTATGATCTGAACTTTGTACTTGATCTACTCATCCTTGTGCTACGGTTTCTGGTTACAGGTTCAGGTCAGTGCTATCATCATGCCCATGTTTGAGGCCTTTTGAACAGAGAAATATACAGATCCATGGTCTAACTTTCCAACTTTTACAGAATCATTTCCCTTCAAGTACGCCCTTAGGACCCCCCCCTTTTTTATCAATGTATTATATTTTCTGTTACTACTAAAATGTAAAAATAACGCTCTTCTAAGAGAGATTTCAAAATCCAAGATTACTTAAAATACGATTCGTTTATTGTTGATTATTATGTTTATTGTTGATGATTATGCTGCGATTGTTGTTATTTTTCCTCAGAAACAAAATAGATCGATATGCATTAAATATTACTTCAACAAGTTTGATAAAATAGATCGATATGCATTGAATATTACCTCAACAAGTTTAATAAAATAGATCGATATGGCATTGAATATTACTTCAACAAGTTTAATAAAATAGATCGATATGCATTAAATATTACTTCAACAAGTTTAATAAAATAGATCGATATGCATTAAATATTACTTCAACAAGTTTAATAAAATAGATCGATATGTATTGAATATTACTTCAACAAGTTTAATAAAATAGATCGATATGTATTGAATATTACTTCAACAAGTTCAATAAAATAGATTTGTTTGTCATTTTGGGTCATTCAAGTAGAAGTTACGTGCTCGAGAATATTTCAGTTTCAGTTGCTTAACAGGGCTATGAAACTAATAATTTACCTTCGAACATACAAAAAGTCACAAAAATGAAAGAATGCTTTTGTAACATTCGCTTCGGGTAATCGATGACCAGTTGTACATCGGTATTCATATCAAGCTTACTATATTCTATTAAATGGTAAATTTAACGAAAGATAGAGCAGAAAGTGTAAGCACATACCACATTCATTACTACTAATAATCAACTGCTAAACCTATTTTACATGTTTGGTCTTGCTATAACAATCTCCGTTAACACTTTACTTCAGCTATCAAAAACTCACTAGAAGGATTTCTTAGTAAACAAAACATTTAATCTTTAGAAGTACAGACAAAAGTTCTACTTACGATACTTCGAATGTTTAATTTTGTGTACGTCATTTCAGTATACAACGTCATCCGAAGTAAACCAGAGAGAAAGCAGTGAGAATCGTGCCATCTGTTGTTTAAAGAGTAAAATATTATACCTGTGATCTTAATCACATCAGATAACAATTTATTTCGAATTGTCTTCATACATTTCGTACGTCAGTTTTTCGTATTCTGTTCCATTTTAAACTCGTTCATCATGCCAATAGAATCAATCAAAACATGTTTAATTAACAAACTCGCTGAATTAGGCAAACCTCACCTGTTTTATAGACAAGAGTGTTGATAAAATAATTATTCAAGCCTTTTAAACGATTAAATATTGTAATTTTTTGTATCATTGTTCACTGAGCAATCTGAGATAAAAAAACTTCAGGAATCTTGTCCATCCAGCATCCTGAGCAATCTAATCTACAAAAGTCATTTGTTGGTACCTATAACTTCTGATAACAGAACTTCAGGAGTCTTGTTCACCAAGGATCCTTGAGCAATATAATCTTCAAAAGTCCACTATAACTTCTTATAACTAAACTTCAGGAGTCTTGTTCATCCTGCATCCTGAGAAAACTAACCCTCAAGAACCACTTAGTACATCTACTACTGCAATCTCAGATAATTCATATTCAGGAGTAGTTTTCACCCAACATTCTAAGGAAACTAATCTTCAAAAGTCATTCGTTCAACCTTACAAATTCAGATAATTAAACTTTAGGAGTCTTATTAACCCTTAACGAATTTATTATGATTTATTTATTTTTAATATGAACGTTGTTTGGATTGAATTTGTACTTAGAAATATGCATGACTTGTAGTATCAGATATGTATTGGGTATAACGAATTTGTTATATATTTATTTTAATGTCAACGTTTGTTTTGAATAAGTTTATATTTGAGGGCGTGTTTAGCTGACCATGTTAGTTACATATGGCGAAACTCCCGCCAATTCTCCAAGATTGTAGAATATTCGTGAACACAAGAATCAACAATATATCCACTTCCATAACCGGTATTATCAGAAGTTTCGAGAAAATGTGTCCCGTCTATAAAAATAACAGAGAAGAGACAAGTCTACTAGGAAACGGTTATAACCATGTAAGCTATAAAGTGAGATTTTGTTAACCCTTATCAACCGGAAAATATACGACATTTGGCCAGGAACAGCTATAAATTTCGAACGTCAATGAATTCTCATCAAACGTTAGTATCTATCCAAAAATATTGTTAGTTTCTCATCGGACATTAGTGGTTTTATGAAAATATTTTCTTACTTCAATAGTCCAACAATTCAGTATCTGACAAATCTATCTAGCTTCCCGCCAATTATATGTACATCGACTTTAAGTTAACTCGCTGGATATCAAGGAGACTCTGAACTAGGAAGACGATTTTAGGTTATTTATAAGTAGTAAAATATCTGTTTATGAACTTTGTTTGTAATAACTAATCGTAAAAGTTACCAATGTAAATTATATTGTTAGTATATATATTAAAACGTATTTGTGTTAAAACAAAAGCGGTGTGAATCAATCTTGTTGGCAAATAGTGTAAATTAAATTAAATATCGGCATATTTCTAAACACTAAATCCAGGATACAGTTCAACTATTAAAAGTTAAATTATTTAACGCGGCTTTGGATTATTTCAGATTCTCAATACCTAACAACACAACATCCTAAGAAAACAAACTTTCGCCAGACAATTTCAGATAACCAGTATATTAAAGAATATTGGTCTCTCAACAAATTGAAATTACTAATCTTCAGAAATCTTGTTCACACCAACGACATGAAATGACTAACTTTCAAGAGTCTTGTTTACCTAACAACTGGAATAAATAATCTCAGAAGCTTTGTTCAGTCAATGACCTCAGATAAATAATTTTCAGGAGGTTTATTAACCAAACAACCCGAGAAATAAGGTTCAGAATTTTTTTTTTCTCATCAAGGACAAGAGATAAGTAATTTTCAGGAGCCTTGTTCACCCAGTGACCTGAGATAAATAACATTAAAGTATCTTGCTGACCAAAATGCTGAAATAAATAGTTAATGTGTCTTCTGGATCAACACGTTTCAAATACTAATCAATATAGGTATGTTTGTTTGTTTTACAATTTTTCACTCAAAGCTACATAAGGACTATCCGCATTGAATTTTTTATTTAGGATACTAAAATTCTAAATTTTGAACTCAAAGACTGGAGGGAGGGCTACTAGTCAACAGAGTCTACCGCCACCTCTTGGACTACTCTTTTCTGACCAAATAGTTGGAGTTTACCATCACTCTTACAGCGCATTTCCGGCCCGTCTATGGTCTATGGCAGTTATTTTGATGTCAAGTTAATAGTTTAGAGAAAAACTATCAATCACCAAGGGTGCTTGAAAATTAGCAATCCTCCTTCACCATGCTCGAGGTAAAAGATTTTAAGTTTGTAAATTGGTCATCGTTCTGATGGGCTGAGTGGGCGAAAAAAATGAATTAAAAGTAGAAGAAGGAGAGAGAGAGAGAAAATGTGCAGAGTGCTTTTATTCAGCAAAGGGCTGCGAACCATGAACTCTCTGAAAAACAGTCCCAGCATATTAATCATTAGCCTACACCCGGTACAATCAACTGTGCCTTGTAGACCAAAATGCTGAAAAATCACCATCTACCCATATTTTGATAGCAAGCACACCAGGAAATATTATGGTGTTTTGTTTATCGACAAACCGAAATATGTAATCGACAGCTGTCTTTTTTTATGGTATAAATTTCAGATAACTTGTTTGTTTGTTGCTAAGAAGAAAGATAATCAATGGGCTATCTGTGCTGTATCCACCACGGGTATCGAAACCCAGTTTTTAGCTTTATAAGCCTGCAGACTTGCCGCTGTGTCACTGAAGGGGCTTCAGATAATTAATGATTTAATAACGAAAATCCTATCTTTTCGACCAGCCTGCTGGGGTTGTCATTTAACACGTGTCATTCTAACCAACATGTTTGAATAACTAATCTTCACATATCTTACTGAAAACATACTGAGAAACTTAAAAATAATGTCTTGTTGACCATTATACTAAGAAAGTTCATTATGGACAATATGCTCATAAAATTAATCAACGTTTATATTTTTCAACAACGTGATTATTTAATTCATTAAGTTGTGACAAGCATGTTATGAAACTAATTACCACACGCCTTGTTTGTTTACAAACGTTTTGGCGGAATAAATCTTCACATTTCTTTTCGACCAACCACCTCCTCCCCTCCCCAAGTGTGTGAGCTGTAAGTCTCAGACTTATGACACTAAAACTCGAGCTTTAATGCCCTTGATGGGCAGAGCACAGATAGCCCATTGTGTAGCTTTTTTCTTAATAACGCTCAAACCAAACTTTGGCCGACCAATATGCCGAGATAACTAGTGTTCTTGTGTCTTGTTAACTAGCATGCTAATAAATAAGTCTCTAATTGACCAACAGGCTAAGATAACCAGTCAAGATGTTCATGTTGACCAGCATGCTGCAAAAAACAATTAGCCCTTGATCTCTTGACCAACAAGCTAATATAACTAGTCAAGACGTTCATGTTGACCAACACATTGAGGTAACGAACCATAAAGTATTTTTGAACAGCATAATCATAATATTAATATTTTCCAACAATATGCACCGATAACAACGATAATATTGTTACACAAGCTTCTGTAAAAACTGATCAACACGTCTTGCTGACCAATAGGCTGAGATAACTAACCAACACTTTGACCACCATTCCTCAGAAACCGATATTTGTGTTTCTCGTTAACGAGCATGATAAAAAAACTGATCTTGATTTGTTGTTGTTTTTTTTTCACGTGCATGCTCTAAATCTAACGAAGACGTGTTTTGAAAACCAATATTCTCAGAACACAAAGCAACATGTTACGATAATAAATCTTTCGTTTATCTTGTTGACAAATGTGCTGAGAAAACTAGTCAGCACGATTATTGTTGACAAAATGCTGACATAGCTAAGAATGCGGTATTGTCAAATAAAATGCTGAGAAAATGAGTCAATATACGTGGCTTGCTGCCCACATGCTAAATTAATTGTCAGCGTGTCTCTTTTTGACCAAACAGCTGAGCGAGCTGAGAAAACTGTTTGTTTGTTTCTGAATTTCGCGTAAAGGTACACGAGGGCTATCTGCACTAGACGTCCCTAATTTAGCAGTGAAAGACTAGAGGGAAGGCAGCTAGTCATCACCTCCCACCGC